CTTATGAAACGTATTGACGACGACATACCGAGAGACACGACTATTACGTTCTAACGATTTTCATTCGATTCTGTCGAGATTGACGACTCGTCGCAATCGCACGTACCTTTTATTCCTTTCCGTGAGACGCGACGATAGGTTTCCAAAATGTACCTTTCAGAATCTTCGAGCGTCGTAAACGGTGAAGTGCGACGCGTCTGGTAGCAGGTGAGGAAGGACCGTACAGGAAGCGAAACACACACAAGAAACACTGACGAGTAACGCGGCCCGCGAGCTATCAAACTTACACGTAGACGACGGACTGGCAGACCGACGAGGACTGAGTAGGGCAGCCGATCGCTCGTGGATTCCCTGTTCTATCTCTCTCTCTTTCTCCCCTTCTCCCCGGAGAGCAATCCTCGCTCGCTCCCACCAGTCTCTCTCTCCCGCACCGTTCCTTCCACGCTCGCTCCTTCTCTCTCGGTTCCCAGTTCTGCTCGCTTTTCTTTCCTCCTTGCGCCCGACTCCCCGTTCGCGCTCCCCTCGTTCCTCGTTCACCGACGGCCTCTCTTTTCGTCCATCTGCCACCTTCGCGACACCGTGAGGCGTGCGCGCGGACACGGAAAAAGGGGAGGAGAAGCCACGAGGTCGGGAAAACACGGAAATTGCGGATTGAAAAGATGGGACGGACGTATTATCGAGCGTAAGTGGCTCGAACCGCGCGACTCGAAACTCACTCGCGAAACTACACGACCATAAATTCGACTCGGTCGACGGAGATGAAATGGCGCAGCGACGGAAAACGGGGAAATCCGATGTCTATCGTTATCGGAGAGAGCTAGATGCGCATCGCGACTCGGCACCGCGCGCTCCGGTTTAAACGGTGCGACAACTCTACTCCGTGCTGTACTCCGTTTTCGGGCTCTCGTCCGTGGCCGAGCGACGTCGGAAAATCACGCGAACCACGATGATGCGTCGTATTTTTCGCGAAATCCTCTCTGAGCACTGCGCGCTCTCATGGCAATGGGACGAGGCAGCTCTGCCGTTTCATAAAATGGCTGACTCTCTTGTTCCTCGTCTTAGACTTTGCCTCTATTTCCCTGCACTATTCCGCACGGAACATTGCGTACGATACTTGCATACACGCGAGACGCGCGCACGCGCACGCGATAAACGCTCGCCCGACATCTTACCAATGTTTTCCTTTCGGTCTGTCGATCGTTCGCTTTTGTTCCCGCTGCTTCCCTTTAAATCGAACTTGAGCTTTTGTCACCTATCGAAGAAAATACCGAGAACACGGCGCAGCTGGGTCGACGAAACGCGATTCGCTTAAAGTCAATGTCGAGGTGAATTCGAAGACGATCTCATGCGTTACGGAACGGGTGCCTAATAACGCATTTTCCTAGTCGCGCGTACGAATCCCGAGCAGAAGAGACCCGTGAACGATTTTTCGGCCACGCAATTGCGTAAGAGTTCGCGACGATATGTCGCGCGATGCTTATCGCGTTCGTTCTCGCGAGGTAAGCGCGATTACAACTATAATGGGCTACACACAAGCGTGCGGAGTAACCGCGTGACGTTCACGTGGAGAGAAGAGGAACGTCAGTGCTTAATGGCCGCTCCATGTTACTAATTGCTCGATCGAACGCGATTACGCTCTCGCGGAAACTCCAACTCTCGTCGCGATCGTATCAGGTCGTCCCATAGGACTGTGGCATCGAATGTGTCTTCGACTCTGTCTCGTTCGCGTCACCCCCCGTGTTCGGAGTCGTCCACGAGCTCGTCGGTCGGCATTCTATAAAAATCGAAGAGCGATCGGTCGGATCGATCGATAAATTCTTTTCTCGAATCAGCGCGTTTGTACATACCGAAAGCCGCGGCGAGGGGTGACGCCGACGCCTGAAAATATCGCAGACGTATAAAATTGTCGTGACGACGCTGGCGCATGCAAATAGAAAATAGAAATGAGTTTAGAAATAGCGTCGCCAGTCGTCGGCCTAGAATTCGATCGGTCGTAGCCCGCCGCGACACTGTTTCGGTTTTACTCGGAGCGTATCTCGTCCCGTTTCGTCACGACTAAGTACGCGAATATCTCGGGGAATATCGGAGCGAGCTCGTTGCAAAAGGATTCGAAGGTGTCTAATTAAAAAGGATGAATAATACATCAAACACATCGAAGGCGATTAAAATGTACCCTGTAAATGGCCTGCGGAGAAGTAGTTACACTTCCTTGAATGCGGCATCCTGCCGGGTAAATATTGTCCGTTTAATTGACCGACACCGGACGGAGTTCACCATAGTTGGAAGGGACTATACTAAACCCGCTCGCGACTTCCTTCCTCCGTGGAACGAGCGAGTAAACGCGAATACTACTGACATCGCGTAGAAACCGCGCTCGGTAGTGGTTTCATTCATAAAGTCACGCGTTTAACATGGAAACGTTCGCATGCGTTAACGAGAGAAACGCTGTTAAAACCCGTACCGGAACGGACGTCTGATACGCGTTCGAGGGCCCACCGAGGCACCGACGACGGTCGATCGTATTCGCATAGACCGGTGAAATAATTTCGGCAAGTACGCAACGCGCAGTCTTGGATCTCGTTTTTCAAAGTGCGCTGACCCTTCAAGCTTGGGCGGAACTCCTTCGCTTCCGGTGTTATTCCGTCGCTGCTATTTCTATATATAAACCCACACGCCTTTGTAGCGCACACCTACAATAGAAACTCTCCCGTACGTACAACGGAAGCATTTACCACATCGTCGATCCCGCGAACGAAACTAGTTTGATCTATAGGTACCTCGATCGGACTCATGCAGAATCATCCGCGAGGTACGTATACTGTATACATGGGCGAGGGACAGGAGGAAGCTTGAACTTCATTATTTCCTCTTGCGGCCTAAAATAGATTAAAAGTGTGTACTCACAGGAAACGCTTCCGGCGAAGGCAGTCACGGGTGCCAGGCTCTCTCTCCGTGTTCTTGCATCATTGATCTCCTCTTTTTTATCAGCTGCGTTTAAAACGCCTTCGAGCGTGCCGACGATTACGTACCGCGAATTCTTCGTTTGTTTGACACAACCCGGCGGTGCAAGATAGCGTCGTGTAATTGACATCTTCCTACGACTTCCGGCACTAGCTGGAGGTCGATGATTACTTTTTGTCGAAAGTTCGTTGGCACGTGGGAATGGTGGGAGGGCGCGGAGTCAAAAGGTCGGGTGCATTGTCGCGTCGCCAAACGCGAAAACGGGATGAAAGATTCCGGGGGCGACGATTAAAAAAAACAAAAAAACAAAAGAAGAGATCTCGGCTAGAATCGACGCCGGCGACTGAAAAACTGGATGGAGCGGTTCGACGTGTCAGCGGAAGAACGGGAGACCGGAAGAGAACCGGGATGGAACGCGACGCCGTCGTCCCAGAAAACATAATGTGGCAACTGTTACGTAATAAAAGCGAGCATGTGTCGGAGACGCGACGGGGGTGGCGAGGGGAACTGGACGCGGCGGGGACGAGAATGAAAAGGGCAACGTCCAAGGGATCGTGACAACGAGGAATTCCGTTCCGTGATGTACGCCGAAAAAATGAAACGTTTCGGACGAGACGCCACTGTGCGATGCGACGCGCTGCGGCGTCGTCTATGTACATCTAGACGGCTCGTTCCGTCTGATACGAGCGAGGCCGTGCGAATTCAAAGCGGAGCGAATGCAGCGATGGGCCAAGGGGAATCGGAAATCTATATGCGTCGGGAGGAGCCGCTAAGCAGGAAGTCGATCTCTCCGTCACCGCGCACTGTCGTCGCGAACGGGTTAATTCGGTGCGGTTTCGCTGGCGCGTCACGACGGAACTCTCGTCATCGTGTCGAGTCGCGTCGCGTCGCGCGCCACCGCGCATCGGAGACTCGCAGCAGGGCAAAGTGCATCGTAAGACTGCTGACGGGTGCAGCACCGATGCTCCGGCTTTCCGATGCAGCGCGTCCCCCCTCGCCCCTTCCTGGCACCCGACCGAGCGCGAACGTGCGCACAACGACGGCGTTAGCACCACGTGACCATCCCTTTAACTTTGGCAAACCGATTACCGCACCACGACCACCGCCGTCTTCTCTTCCTTCTTAATCTCTTCCCACCGATTTCCACCCTCAACCTTCTCAGCGACTTTTTCTCGCCGCTTTCGTTCTTCCTCGCATCTGCATCTACCTCTTCCCGTGCTCCCCACCCTTTCACCTCCCAACGATTTTTCCTCTCTCGTTCTCCACGATACGACTATCTATATTTTTCTCTAGCTCCCTCCCCGTTCCGGTGCATCCTCTCCCTTCGTCCGACATCGCCGCTTCTCTTCGTGCAGGAAGTAAACTCTCGCGGCGTCTCTGTCGCGAGGGAACGTTTGCCAGCCAGTAGGCTCTTCTGTCCCGTCTTCGTTCCACCGACGAGTTCAGCGTCGTTACCGTCTCTGTCCCTCCCGCGGACTGGATTCTGTCGAGCACTGCGTCATTTCTGTACTAGACTGTACGATTCGTGCTCTCGCTCTGGCTGTCCCCGCACTCCTTCTTGAATACCAACGCGTTCCTCTCTCGGTCGGCATCCCCCACCAGATTCGGGTCGACTCGCTGCACCGGGAAACCGAGGCGGTGCAGCCGTCCTTGTCGCTCGGCTCCATTCATGCCCCGACTCTCTTCGGGTTATGCAACTTCTTCGGGTGAGACGCGAGACGAGGGTCGCGCCGCGCCGTTCCGATACTGCACGCTCGTTTCACCGAATCTTACCTCGCCGCGGCTGACTACACGACTATATACCATCGCCGGTGTGCACACCGCGCTTAACTATGTCGCACAAGGGAACACAGATTACAACTGCGCAACGATCGAATTTTCCCCTCCGCCGATATCGCGTACTCGCGCGCGTTTCTCGTCCCATGCGGCTCGCTACCATCGAGACTGCTCACGCTTTCGTCCCGACGACGTCCTTTTTCTTGCCAGGAAAATGATATCGCAGGATCGGGACTTGAAGATGGTGAAAAATTCTGGTTGCGTTCCGTGTAACCGCAATTCGCAACTGTTTTATTACTCTCGGTACAAACGATTCTCTCGTACTGACATAGTAGAAAGTTCCCAGTATAAACCTTTCCAATTGTATATACACTGAATTCATTGTATCTTGGATACACATCGCTCGCCATGTGCCGCTAACGGCGATGCGTACTTGTCCGCGTTTATTTTCGATCGAAATACAATTAGTCGGGTGTCCGTGTATATGTATTTACAGTGGCTAGGACGAGTCTATACAATAAATCGTGGTCACGATGTGAGAATTCGTAGAGTACCACTTCGATCGCAAAGTGTCCATACGGGGACTTAGATTAACCCTTTCGTTACTACGGGCGACTGTAATCGCTCTGTATAAAATACCACTGACGTACTACGGGCGACTACAGCCATTCAGCAGGAGTACCATGGCGGAGAACACTCCCGTAGCGAAAGGGTTAATTTGTGAAAAGTTATTTTTTTCAATAAACACCGTCAAACCAACTCGGGTTGCTGTGAAGCGTAAACGCGGTCGCTGATGATCTTATTCGAGCACCGTGCACATTTTTGGTGCGGCGGCCCCTTCAGCGGGAGTACCGCGGCGGAGAATCCGCCCGTAGAGAAAGGGTTTAAGATGCAGTTTAATACGACTGGTTTAATATAAACCAAACGACGCTCGATTTCCCGACGATGTACAATGAGTCAGATCGAAGAATTAGCTGCCCATAATTGTCTCAGCGTTACTTCAACATTTTTAACACACATCATTACTTTCAGCGTTTTCGAATGCGACGGACATTAACCCTTTGCACTCGAGACATTTTGGAGCATTTTTGCTGAATTCCTTAGCTCTAACTTAAAATGATTATACATCCAAATTACTACATAAAATTTTTATATTTTAATATTTTGCGTATTTTTGTACCTTTAGAAACATAATTTCGTAAACATTAATCATAGCATTTTTCCTTTGTTTGATATTTACTGTAACAATTTCCAAAATGCGTGCCCGGTTTGTCGGGACAAGTATTACGATAATATGTTGTCTGGTGTCTTTCTCCGGTTATATTTCGTCGCGAGCAGACTTTGCAATCCTTCTTAACTCCCGTTAGAACAGTATTCTTTTTTCTATTATCCACTTTCTATTATTATAATCTTTCGGCGCGACTGTCAAGTTCGAACTAATGTCGAAAGTGATGCACGGTTGTCGTTACAGACTAAGGTTCCGATACGAAAAACTTATCTCCATTTAAAGGAGTATCATTTTACACTTATAGGGTCTTATACACACGTCGCCTGTCTCGCTAAAAGCGCCACAATAAAATTTAAGGTGAGATAACGTCTTGGTGAGCGAGAGTCACCGCTCGAGTGCAAAGGGTTAAGAAAGCAAGGTATGTACGTCCGTTGAACGTCGACAAGAGGAATCGGACAAATGAACTTGCAATACTTCGATCTGACGACGAACCCGAAACGGAGATCGTCGATGAACCCTCCGTCAAGAATCCATTTATAGGAACGTTTGATACTGTTATTGTGTGTGCATGTGGCTTTCATTTTTAAATAAGCGATCTGAATCGATCGCACACTAATTAATTTCTTCTGTGCACAAATAACGCGTGCAAGCTCTAAGTAGAGGAATGAAAAAATAAGTAAAATTAATGAATATGTGTGTGTTTGTGTGTATGATGCAAACATGATGTATGGGTAAGTTATATGACGAGATGGAGTTAAACTTATGCATCTAGAAAATAAGTCGGTGCGCCGATACGCGTGTGTCTCGATTGCACTAGTTCAGCTCGTCAGGGTTTCTCAAATCGATCATGAACCGATTGGATAAGATACGTCGCCTGATACGTTCCCTCGGTCGCAGTTGAGTACGGCGTAGAATCTCGCAAAGCATTGACGAAAGGTCGTCGCCGGATCGATCTAGTTGACTTCTGAATCGGACCGAGAAAGGCTAGATTCATGGAAGACGAGGTTCGATCATTTTCACGCGGGAAACGGAATTGAACTCACGAGATCTTTCTGCACGATCTCGAGATTCTTATCGATTCTCGAGGTTGTTAACGCGCGAACCCCAATCTCGATCGCGACCAGGGACGACACGCGATACACACGGCGTATCATGGGAGTTCACGATGGAACACACGAAATTAAAAACTAGGAATCGAGTTCCGTGCCGCAGTAAATGTCTTTAATCTCGCGGCGACCGACAATTTTACGCTAATCCGACGTCTAGGGACATCATTATCAAGAAACCAACGACTGCGGCCCAGCTGGCGACTTTGCCATTTCCACTGTAATCAGAAAGCAAGAAAAACATTTTCTCAGCTACCGCTCTCGCATCAAGAAACAAGATGCTTGCTTGCTCTCTCTCTCTTTCTCTCTCTCACTGGTTGGAGATGGATCCAGAGGAATATTAAGAATGAAACACTGGACGACGATGGAGACACAGTTAGTAAGAAGAAGATCGAAGTAGGAAGGACACGGTGAAACAGGAATATGGTCCACTGCTGCGACGCAACGAAGTAGCGAGGAACAACGCCAGGATGGCGAGTAATAAAAGGGTTTTCGCGGTATAAGTAGAGATTAAGCACGCATAAAGCATACACGGTATTGTACGTCACGGCTTGTTGATTTCGTAAATTATACACGGCCATCAATTTTAACGGCGGGTGAAATGCGCCGTTGTTTTCGGTGGGCGTTCTACCACATCAATCGTATCCGCGTGGTAAATACCTCCTTTCGGCGTGGCTGAGAAATTTCTATTTTCATTAATGATAAAGATTAAAGAACTCGCGGTCGAGTACAATTCCGATTGAACTCCTGTTCAGTACCTAAGTATCGATCGGTACGGCGGACTACTCTTCGAGAAGTAGGCGATTGCCGTTAGCTACGAGGCCACGGGACCCGAAACGAGGCATTCCTTTTCACCGAGCACACAATCATGCAAACGATCACGAGGATCGACCGTTCCGAGAACCCGGGACTAGAGGTGCATCGGCGAGTAAAAATGAATTCCTGAAAGACGAGAGAAAAGAGAGCGTCCTTCCTTGTCTGTTCTCGCGCTTGCGTCTCCTATCTTTGCGAAAACTAATCGATTCTAGGCCGATCAAAAACTTTCTCTCGTCCTCGTCTATCGTCGAATTAATCGTAGAAGAAAACAAGATTCGCTAAGAAACTGAACCGTCCCGCTAAACCAGAAAGCAAAGCATTGTTCCTCTCTCTCTCTCTCTCTCCCTCTCTCTCGTCTTTCTCTTTTGGAAAAGATCACACGCGTTCGAGAAGAAGTTGGAGGTCGAGCAACGGTTCATCAGGACAGAGGGGGGAATCTATTTTCACTTTTGTGTTTTCCGGGCCCCGGAGGGTTCCCGAGGGAGCGTAGCTGGCACCGCTGTCTCAGGAGCATCTATACGGTACTCCCAGCCGGGCGGTTAGATCGCACGCGAAATACAAAAGAAGCCAATTATAATGACAATGCGCGTTTTGCTAGGCAGTCGGGCCTGGGAAAGAAATTTGCTACGTCCGTTTTACCAAAGCCTAAGAGCGAACTACGTCACGCGCCATTGTACCGTAAATTATTCGAATACCCGTCGTAAAAACGCGTACGTTTGTACAAACACCGAATGTAATGATCGTTCAGCCTCAATGAAAAACAATCGCCGAACGTTGAATCTTTAAAGGGCTGGAACGTAAAAAATCGGACGTACCTCTGATGCGCTTCCGGGATGATATCGTCGATCACGACGTAGATCATTGCACCGGCCGCGAAGGCGAGCGTATAAGGCAGCGCAGGTTCAGCGAGCGTCACTCCGGCTGCGCCAAGGACGCCTGCGAGCGGTTCCACCATCCCCGAGAGTTGCCCGTACCAGAAACTCTTGAAGGTGCTAATCCCGGCCGCCTGAAGGGGCAGAGCCACCGCCAGTCCCTCGGGGAAATTCTGGATACCGATGCCGATCGCGAGGTTCCTGTAACAAATGCGGAGAAACGGATGTCCGCTGGTATCATCGTGACTGGAACGAAGGGGCCAGACGTCCGCGCGAGCCAACCTAGTCGCGGTGAGTTATCGAAACTGGTCGACGGTTGCTTCGACATTCTCTAGATTTTTCCGTCTACTCGAGTGCTCCGGCCTCTTAGGTGACCGGACGGTACACTCGTCTCACCGGTACTCCGGCTACCTGGCTCGCCAGCGAACGCGTCCGAATTTCACCGTCGATACTCGCGTGTTGCTTCTTTTTCGGTCTCGTAACTCTTTAGAGCAGCGTGTAACGAAGGGAGACGGCCGCGGGAACGAAAGCAAAAGAGCGAGCCACATAGCAGGTGAATGAACCAACACGATCGCGTATACACACGTCTATGTAACGCTCGCGTATCGCACCGCTCCTTCGGGCATTTTTATACGCTCTTTTTTTTTCAATTTCCATCGAATTATCGTCGATCGAACGGTTAAAAAGATAAACGGAAGATTCACTGGGAACGAAGAGTCATCCCAATGAATGGCTCGGCCAGATGAGATAGCCGGTAGAAAATAGGGGGACCAGGGGAAAAACGCAGCGAGAGGAATGCGGCTTTGGACGAGCTACCTCAGTCTGGTACATAGATGGAATTTACGTTTGCCAAGTAGACGTTCTAATCGGATATTGGAACGATGATACTTTAGGAGGCGCGTCGATCGTCGACGAGCTGGGAAAGACGACGAGCTAGGTGTTCCGCGATACGCGGTGGATCGTCGATAGAGAAACGGTTAGAATTCCCAAGGAACAATAGATTAGCGGTCGGTCGGCAGAGAGAACGGGCGTGCAGGTGAATGAATGACGCGATCCGAGAAGCTCCTCCTTCCCGATGCAGGATGATCGCGGCGTAGAGAACGCGCTCTCTCGCGTACAGCCCGAGCACATGGTATGGTGTGTCATGCCGCGGTGCGTAACGCGTTATTTCATGGGACGGCATCGTCGTCGCGTTCCTACAGCATCGACGTACATAAGTGGTTGTACAGTTAACCCGTCGGGTCCGGCTGTTCGCCAGCTTGCACCAGGGGAGGTCACCCGAGTTCCAAGAATGATCGCCCCCTTCCACCACCCCTGGCTTCACCTTCTTTTACTTTCCTCTCCGTCTTCGACGTCCTCCTCTCTCCCTCTCGCTCCGCGTTCCTCTGACCACGCTCTCCTACAGGTCGGTTTCTTTTCCTTCCTGACTTCTTCTTTCTCGTTTCCACGGTCAGGGCCGCTACTCCCGGCGAGTCTACCCCGCTACCAGACAGCTAGACCGATCAACGTCTTTCGGAAACTCCGTTCCGTATCCTCGCTTGTCGATAGAAGGAAAAATGCCTCGCGTTGGTAATAAAATTAGCAGTTTGCCAACGCACGTGTGGCAAAGGTGTTCGACGACCCTATTAACCGTTGTTTCATCCCGCACGTGCTGGTCGCTGATTAGAAAGCGTTTATCGGGTCGCGGCTACGCAGTTCGCTCCGTACAAAACGGGAAGTCCATTCATAAATTTCTTTTCACCTCTCGCCGGAGGTTCTCTCTTTAAATTAGAAACGGAGACGGAGCGGGGCCGGGGAATTGCGCGCGCGAGGGCGTCGCGCTGTCTCGAGCCGAAAAATCGATTTCTCCTAGTGGAAGCGAAGGAGATCTCACCAAACTGGTTGGTACCGATAAAAAAAAGTAGCACGACGTTGTTTTGGTGCTCGTGATCGAGCAGGGACCGCGGTTATACACCGTTATACGCGCGTAGGTACATCGCGGTGGTCTAGCGGGCATGAAAAAGGCCGTGCGTCGCGTCGATGAAAATAATGAAATCTGGCCCGAGAGGGTTATCGAACGTAGCAGCGCACACCGACCGATGTGCACCAACATGGCGGTCGAGTAGCTTCGCTGAACGCACTACGGTCGCCATTTTGCATTCCACGAGCAACCGCGGTTGTCCTTACGTGGCAACACCTATCCGCGGCTTTGCGGTGTCTCGTGTAACGACCGGAAGGATCGTAAATTACTTTTCTCTTTGGCCATCCGCGGCCGACTTTCTTTCTTTCGCTCGTGGCGAAACGAGAAATCGAAAAACCTGCACGTCTCTAAGCTACGTGGACCGGTACCGCGTGGTCCCCTTTGTCCCATAGTCGCATTCCATCGGCTCCGAGGCTCTCTAGTCGATAGCGGTTTTTCACCGATCGGTTTCTGATTTTGGATGAACGTAGGAGCAAGAGAAAAGATGAGGAATTGCCGGTGGCGAACCCGAAAGACACGGACGCGGACAGGGCTAGACGAGGAGACGGGGGGGCCACCGTAGGTGTGCGTGTACGATCGGTATACCGCGTGTCAAAAAGAGAAACGAAGAGGGTACGTACGTACAAACGCGTTTGTATGAGAAAACTGAGGAGCGAGCAAGACAAAAAGGAGAGAGAGAGAGAGAGAGAGGGAGAGAGAGAGAGAGGAGCGAAGCGAAGAGGGATGTGGGCGAGGAAGAGAAACGAACGAAGGAGGGGGTGCAGAAATGAGAGAGCGAGGAAAGAACGAGAGAGGGAGTAAGGAATGCATGGGAACGAGGCGCAAGCGGGCCGACCGCGATTTGCCCGTCCCGCATTCCACCAACGCCAAGGCGAGCTCTCCGGCTCTTCTCCGAGACCCGAGGCCACCGGCCGCGGACTAACACCATAAAATCATAAGACCAAGATCAACGCCGTTCTTCCCTGCTACCTCCGGCATCGCTCCGCGCTACGAGCCGCGCGCTAATGTCAAATAGAAACGCGTTCGCAGATTCCCGGGAACCGTACCTCTCCTCCTTTTTCTCTGCTCGGCCAGTTTGCACCCTTAAGTTTCGCCCGGATCAAATGGCGTTCCGAGGGGTCGGCGCAGGTGTCTGTCGGGGCGGAAGAAACTCGTTTGATAGAAATCGCGAGAAGAAGCTAGATAGTCCGTGCAGACGATCGTCCCGAGGTCGTCGTCGAGGGACATAACGGATCCGGCTGTTCGTCTGTTCCGAGTAAGGTACGCGGTGCGCATGCGTAATGCTGCTGCATTCCAAGCATTGCGAAGTCGCTGCACCGTGCACGCCGGTGCATCGCCCGATGCCAGAGAAAGAGGAACGAATTAACCGAGACACCGGGCAAGAGCGAAAGAGAGACCGATACGCCGGGCTATCGGCAGGAGAGAGACCCGGAGGAAGTCGCAATGACAAACGTGCTCACCGGTTGCCCGTTTGATTGATCGTTATCTTCCCTCCCAAAAAAAACTTTCTCCGACTTTCGACGTCGTCGAATCATTGAACGTTCTCCGAGTCCGGTTCACGAACGATCACACCTTCTAACGATTCGCCCGAATTTCCGATTCACCCCAAACCGTTTCTGCTCGAAGTTAACTATGGAAAGCGGTTGTCGCGAAGGAGGTTCTCTGTTACGGCCAGCGTACCTATCGTTGCGCACGTGCACTCGTAATACTATGCACCGAAGCTAAGCGGGAAGTACTATATCGTAACTGACTTCCGTTGCTATTAACACACGTCAGAACTGGCTTTCCGCGCGTGATAAGTACCGGGTACAAAGTGCAACGATTGAGGGAACGGTAGAGGCTGTGCGGCTGAACCCAGCTTAAAAATTGACCATCGCTAGGATATCGGTTAGAACTGTCCGGATACTTTGGATCTCCGAGAATATAGTTAAAGGCAGAAATAAGTTACAAACTATCGCGTTTATAATGGTCAGACGGCGCTATTACGCTGGTGAGGTAAAGGAGAGGCGACCGAGGCCAGGTTGAAAGAGGACAGAGCCGGGGAGAGAAAGGGTAAAAGGTAGAGAGAAGAGAGAGCGGGCGAGTAAAAAGAGAAGAGCAGAGAAGCGAGGACAGAGATGGGCCGCGGTACGGTGAGCACTGGTCGGTCGGTTTATAATAAGACAGACAGGAGGATAGCACTGAAATGAGGTGGTTTCGTCGGCAGCTTTGTCCGGCGCCATGTTTAACATAGCACCACCTCATCTACGTGGCACGCCGACTCGCCATTCCGTAGTTCCTCCGTTTTTACTCTCGCTATCGCTCTCACCCTTCCCTATCTCTCGTTTATCAAAGACACGGGAAAAATTCAAGCGAAGTCGCGAGTTACACGGTAAAAAGTCGATCGATCCGAGCCCGTCTCTCTCTCCGGTTCGCTCTGAAAATCGATTTTACGCGAACACGTTTCCTCGAACCGAAAAGCGTTCGTCGATTACCTTAAACAGGCAGCTCCGGCGACGCGGAGTACGCGCTGTGACGAATTTCAAAGACGAAAAAAGGAAATCGCGTGGCGAGATTCCGCGAAAAATCCGCATACCACCGACGGTGACTCAGTACCAGATATCCTTGAGCGTTTTACGAGTGCAAATATCGTCGCTCCTATCGGCTACCCACCTTCCCACCGTCCTTTTCTCTTTTCCTCGCTCTATTTCTCCTGCCTCGTTGCTCTCGACTATTCCTGACGCGGACGCTGACGCGGATCGGTCGAACCTTTCATTCATGATTCCTCGTTTCACGCCTCTGTCTCAAGAATGGATTACCTTTCCTCGGAAAGGACACGCAGCGAGGTAACACAAGCTCTTGCGTAAAAACTCAAAGGACCTACTGACGATATTTTTTTCTTATTTCGCGTCGCGTCGGTCGCGCGTTGGTTCAAGTTAGGCTGGTTATCGCGATCGCGATCACGATCGTCGTGAGAATGGAATGTCGCTCGTTACCAACGAGTTCGGCTACAAAAGGGCATGCTCCGGCTCGATAAGTGCTCAAGGCTGAACGATTTCCCGAACGAGGACGCGCGTATACTCGTGTCTCCCGCACGCTTTATCGCGGAACGATTCATACCGTTGTCACCGTATACTATGAAAAATATGTTTGTCGACGTAGCTTTCCCTGAACAAAGATACGCTCGTGGGTACATCGGATGAGGAGACGCTTGCGACGATAACGATGGTACGCACGGCACGAACCGCCGCGTGAAGATACGCACGACTCCGATATATCGACCGGGGTCATCTTTCGGACCGAGCCACGATTCATTCATAACCGGGAAACTTGCGCGATACCGCGTTTACGTCGTCCCGCTTATCGCCCCTTTTTCTCCTCATAAAGGAGCGACGCTGTTCAGCGAACCTCGAGGTTCAAAGTTTGTTCGACTGGACAATGAGCTTGGTCTTCGTCAATTCCTATGGTGTAAGAATAAAATGAATTCCCTGTATATTTCTTAATTGTCGCGTGACGGAAACGAGAACGCCGACACAGTCCATTCATTCCACGGATTCTTAATGACCTACGAACACTCATAATCTTAACCGAACCGCGTTGTTCGACCGTGCACCGTGGAATTCTGACCTGACGCGATCCACGTCGGTCAACCAGGTTTCGATTTTACAGATAGCCCTGCGCCTCAGGATATCTATAAACAAGCTCCTGCTTGCGAAAGCATTCCATTCGCGATTATCATACGCGAAGCTGTGGCAAGCGAATTCGAGAGAACGGGCAGGTTATCTCGTCGGATAAGATGCGAACTGAAACGGGAGAAAGAAGAGAACGAGAGGAAGATCCGAAATATTTGATCATCGTCTGTCATTCTCTATAAATAAAGTTTACGCCGTCGAACGTCCGTTCCGTTCGACGGAGATGAAATCAACGTCATATCATTCGATGTGGTCGTACACGTCACCGGCAGGCATCGCCGTGCTCCAAAGTCAAAGGCGCGCGGCGGTAAAGAGAGCGAGTTCAGAAGTCCGGCGAGAGAGGAGAGCCGAGGAGGAGAGGAACGGGGAAGGGGGCGAGCTGGAATGGAATGCGCGGCGCCTAGGGCTCGTTGAATTCCAGGGCCACGCGTGCCCTTCCCCCTCGCCGCGAGCACCCAGCGCTGCCAATAAACTTTGCCTGCGGCTGGCACTCGCGACTGACCACCATAGAACTCATTCATGGGGACCTCCTCCTATTACGCACTCGTAGCTTAACCCGTTCAACACCAACGGTGCTACCGTCTATTGGCGATAGGCTCAACTGCATGGCTGTGCGGCCAAATAGAAGCGCCTCTATCACTCGCTCGCGCGGTTTGCTGTTATCGACGCTTTCCGTTTCAAAAATGCAAAACAGAGAAAGGGAAATTGCGATACGATGAGATAACTTTTATCTTTCGAACGATTTTTAAATAGGGTGAAACGAGAAGGCCGAACTCCTCTCGGCAAACGATGTACATAACAAATTTTTAAATAAATGTATCGATACGTTCTAACAGTGATGTTGCGCTTATTTTGAAGCGATCTTTTTGATCATTTAACAACGGTTGATCTTTTATAATGAACTTGATAGATCACGATTGACCTAAGCGACTTTATAGCTCGACCGAAATATCGTGAACTATACCTAGAACTATCGTAATTATCTTTTATTACGGGACAAAGTGTCAGAATAATCTCTTATTGCAGAACAGAATGCAATTTATTGTGGAAAAAGAATTGTCATTTGATAATGATCAAAACTGCGACTTCGTTTGCCGCGATATCAACTTACGTCACGATAAATATAAGAATGTTGTTTACCTTGCATTTTCAAAGGTTGCTGATTCGCTACTGCCTATAGCAGCGAATCCGACGCCGACTGCCAAACCTTCTGGTATATTGTGCACCTATACAATATAAAGCGGTAGAGTCGACGAGCCATAATCGAATCCAAACTAAAATATGTAAATATATTTACCGTGATAGCTATTATCAGTAGCAACACTCTCCTCCATTGATTATTTTTACATTCGTTGTTGGGATCCTCGTAAACTGTACCCACATCCCCTTGTTCCGCTGGCCCGTTCGTATTTGCAACTTGACGTCGACGAGCGTTTTGCTCGTAAAAACCTACGAACGCAAGGACAATCTTGCAGAGCAGCCTATGCCCTGGGAGCCATGTATTAAGAACCCAATCCGACGCGTGTGCAAGTCGCGTGTATACGTCACCATTTTTCTTTACGTTCTTAGTATCGAAGCAAGCTTATCGTACTTTAATACCCCGTATTTATTACAGACTTCATTGCGCATGAGATCCGCAGACAGGATTAATAAGATCAGTTTTCAAAGTTATGGAACTTTCGAAACACAAATTGATAGAACAGTTTGAGAACCTCTCGTTCGAAAAGTGTTAACCATGTTAGCAACGGAGTTTCAGTAGCCACCCATGCTATTTATAGTATTTATATTTTAACGATCGTGTTTTTCGCAAGTTCCACTTGTTGCTTTAAACATGCACGAGCCAGAAGTTCAGAAGCATTTCAAAGCATCACACCGACAAAAACAGTTTAGCTAGCTACGTCGCATTATAAGATGTAACGCACAGTAAATACAATAAATACAAAATAATTTGTTTCTTTAGAAACAAGCAGCAAATAATTGATTAACGAAACTAAGGTAAAAGAAAGACTTTCTTACTCTTTTTTTCGACACAAACGCCGATACTGCTTCTTTCTGAACGAACTGTGTTACTTATTGCGTGAAAAAGCAAAGAGGGGCGAGTGTACATCGACATTTTTGTATTGACACATAGACATAAAATAAATTATACACGCGTGCGTGTATCCTGAACTGATCCCATTTTCCAAGCCTACAGAGAGAATTGGATGTTACGAGAAAAAAAGTTGTGATACCATCGATGGTGGTCGACTCGAATCGAGTGTACATATTCCCATCGGATATTTGTACGCCGTTATACGGATCATAATTGTTTAAATCCTCGTCACTCTTTAGTTTTGCAACAATCTTGCGTTTTTGTTTCGTACCCACTGATTGCATAGCTAAAAGCACATTGGGGGACTGAATGCCAAGAGAAGATATCAACGCGTCCGTTCCGTAAACGAATGCCGCGCCTACGAGAAAACCGATTCCGGTTGGTATAAACGCGAATTGACCCTCTGCTCCATACAGTTTGCTCTTTTCTGCCATTTCGAGAGCAGGTGCCAGCAGCGACCAGTAACTCGCCGCTATCATTACGCCGGCGGCGAATCCTAGGCTGATGTCCAACAATTTACGCTGCAATGAAAACGCGTACGCATCCTTTAGACTCGTTCTACTTCTTTCTTCTACTCTTCGTGCTTCTCAATTACGCGCTAACAACTTGTTAAAACATCCGCGTTGTGTATCGCACGCTTAACGCCTAAGTTCTTATTAGTTCCAACAGACAAACGTGCGTTCGAATTCTCAAATTCGTAGTGAGGTAACTCGTACAAATTGGTAGGGGATGTGGGCATATGATTGAGAAACAGGATATTCGATTAAATTATTCGGATGTAAGTTAAAAATACTACTTTGCCATTCATTCACGTTACACGTGACGCGTGTCGCAAAGGGCCAATCAGTCGAACATTGTGATTTGAAAAAATCTAAGCACTCTTAGTTTTGTAAATACATATCACGTTCATGCGTTTAAAACGTATCTAATCTTATCAGATGAAGTGTAACCAGAACACACGTGTCAGTAACTTTTCGGAAAAGCAAATGTTAAGTATTAGATAACGTCAAAACAGCTTAAGAGTACCTTTCAAGTAATGTAATTTACACTTCCTCGATTGGTTGAAATGAGGATACGTCAGATTTTATGCTAATTTTCCACCATCATATTCAATGGAAGATAAATACATGGTAATCTTGAATTCTAATGGATGAAACGAGATGCGAGACGCTATAAGAGAAGTCGCGGAATGAAACTGAATATTCGCTGTTTCCTACGCTCTCAAATTTAACAAGTGAGACCTGAGTTTCAAAAACGGTTCGATTCCCGCGAATGGACGACGAATCGCGATAAGGTTATAGGTTAGAGTCGAACTGATATATGTATACGTGCATCTTCGGTTAACGTAGCCACGAATGTTGATCAAGTTGTGAGAGATCGGAAAGTATCGCGAGACAAAAGGAGAAGACATAATCTTACTTGCTTTCCCCGGATAACAATGACAAGTGCGGCACCCGCTGCGGTGAGAGCCCACGTAAATAACGTTCCTAGGAGCGCCTGTTTGATCGGTGTACAATCCTTCAACATTGTACGATTTATACGATTCTCGACGCCTTAGACAATACCGCACGTCCTCAGCAACGTTCAGCCACGAGAAACTGTTTTATAGGACGTGGGACTGTGGGACACAAAATTCGAAACGTGCATTCAGTCCCCCACACTTATCGCAACCACCACCTCCGGCGCACCAGTACCACTACTCCACTACATCCTTTCGCTCCACCTTCATCACGGGCACTATCACTATCATCGTTATCTCTCCTGCAACTGCTACAGTAACTTGCAATTAGAAACTGCAACCACTACCCATCACGACCTACACTTGTCAATTATTATTTCCGAGTAGTAGAACGCTGTCATGAAACAGTAGTTTCATAGTAGACGCAGTAGTCGTATCGTTAGCGCGACTTCATGACTCTTTGCCGTTGTGCACAAATCGGGTTGCTCATGCATGTGACGTCGAATAATTGTTTGATCGACCGATGCGTCAATTTCAATAAATCGTCAATATATACCCAATAAACCGTCGCCCCTGCGTTAGAACTGAATCAGTCCTTTACACCGACCTCATCACTCCCAGTCTTTCAACGGTTGACAAACTTATTTATGGCAGCCGTGAAAAATTTCATGCATATCACTTCACGTTTCTCACCCTTAACGTGGAAAAATATTGTCCTATTCTCGGCAAGATGTTTAATATCAGTCGCATGCGTCGACCGAGCCGGGAGAGAGACAGTTGCGCTGTCTCGCTGCGCGGAGTGTTTGAGTGGAGAAAGGCATGCCGCGTTTTTAGTTCAGGGAGAAAGAACGATACTGTTCCGAAACCTTATTTTGTTATGTGAATCACTTCTAACTTTCCACTGTTTAATGATCGCTACTTTGATATACTATCTACTTTGTCCAGATTATTTATTGTTATTAGAATGCCAGTTGACCACCGGACAAAACTTTTCCTGTTGCGTCAGTATCTATAGTGACTGCACACTCGATGTGTTAATATGGCGTCCGCGTCGGTAAGTGTATACATCATCTTAAATTCATTCGATTTTTACGCATAGACGCCAAGTATTCTTTTGTTCGCTGGTATGCTTTAAATCGTGATAAAACGGTCGCCTTAAACTACACATAAATTGACGTCAACCGCGTCGGAGGAATCGTTTACTGACATTTGTCGTGCATCACCGTATGTATACATATTACGTTTAAACATGTTCAACATTGTTTTTGTTTCAGCATTTTTACAGGGTTCTAAATATCGTTTCATTTCTTTTGCGTACGATGTCGTCTGGACAGAATGTTAGGCTTTTCTCTTAGCATCGCGGTTGCGGTTTCTCACGTATGACACGTTGCTTCAATATTTAAATCAGTTGTAATGTCGTTAATCAGGTTCCCTTACTAATGGATGATGACACGATTGCTTTCGGGGAAGAGGATGAGGCTCAGAATAGCAACAGACTTAAGTACATAAATTAGGTTTAAGCAATGAATCAGGTGTAACTGACCCAGCTTTTACATTGACGGTGTTCAATCTTTGTAGACATCCATACGTTACCCTGTTTCACTTAGCCTTCAGAGTAGCAGCGATAGTATCTTATATGTTATGCGGGTGGTTTTCGAATAGTTTCATAACTAGCTTCGTACTTGTGGTATTACTTTTGTCTATGGACTTCTGGACTGTGAAAAACATTACTGGCAGGCTGATGGTCGGTCTTCGATGGTGGAACTATGTGGACGACAATGGGAAAAGTCACTGGATATTTGAATCTAAAAAGGTTGGTCTCGATCTTTAAGAAACACAACCGACATCATCATCTCATTCTTTGTATTTCTGCAACTTTGCTCGAGCATTGTAATATAGTACAAGGTCTACCGGGTTGTTACATTCTTTACACTTTCCACTTACTTTAAACAATGATGATGCAAGAATTTAATGTTCCGTCATCAGTTATAAATTGCTCGTAAAGAGAAGTAATGTCTTACCAATAAAGTTCAAGGTCTACTATTGTGCCCTGTATTTCAGGGTGCTCAACAGAATCGCATCAACACCACAGAGGCTCGTATCTTCTGGTTAGCATTGATACTCTGTCCATTATTATGGTCAGTCTTTTTTGTAGTCGCTCTGTTTAGCCTAAAATTTAAGTGGCTGCTTCTTGTCTGCATCGCGATTGTTTTGAACGGTGCGAATTTATACGGATACGTCAAATGTAAAATGGGAAACGACCAAAACATTTCCGCAGCCACTAGTGATTTTTTGAGGAAACAAGTCATGCAAAATGTTAGTAGAACGAATAATTTCTATCTCGAAGAACGCATTAACACTAGAACTACCGAACCAGTCATAATTACGGATTTATAATGAAGAAATGCATGTATAAAAAGATCGGAAGTTCTAGTGTCACGAGAGTCAAAACGTTACAATTGTTATTGCATCGTAGGTCGCGTCGATGATGAGCAGAGCTCCTCCTCCTAGTAATCCAAATCAACAGCCAACGAATGTGATATAAAAACGGGAGACGTTTCCAACTCTGATGTTATTTAAGCACAATTCAATTTGTATATAATTATGTATATCGATAACTGACTTGTATATGTTCTGAATAAAAGGAAATTGCTACGGAAGTAGTAATTGTTCCTTTTTTCTGCTTCTCCTTCCATCACTTTCCTAAAAAGAAGAATTAGTTTAATTAAAACGCAGGGACGGCTACGTTAGTTATTAGTTTATTGATGCCGCAGGGCAATACATAATGTACACATTATTTCTCCTCGTCAACAGACTTCCTATTACACAATATTTAATTTGTATAGGTGTTAATTAGTAACATTGCATTTATTATATTCACTTCAGCCTGTTGTATTCTTTCTGGCAAGAAAGTATCACAAAATAATTTCCCATTCTTTCAACGATATTTAATATTTGACTTATTCTTTGTTTCTTTAATTCACATTTTCCTCTTTCGGAATTGACGACCGCGGCCAAACGGCTGCGATCACATCCGAACGAATTAACTCGGGTTGTTCGTCCCACAAACGCTTTTAGCAAACTCGTTGTGGTGGTATATTGCACGGAGCAATAAACTGGCCGATTGTATATTTTATTTGTTGTATTGTTAGAGATCGCTCCGAAAACGTGACTCGTATAATCGTTTTACTCTTTTTCCTCTTTTTTTTTTTAAGAAGAAGAATACAACAAACCACATATTGCTATACACTCTGGGATATAAAAAAAATTATAAACACTAACGATAGACACGCAGCTAAATTACAACGTACACAAAAACTTTTGGAATGATACAAAATAACGTAATAACGTTACGATCGATAGCTTAGAAATATATGAATGTCGTGGACTTGTTTGTATCGGTAAATTCATCGAATACAGTTCCATAACGCTACGAACTTATAACTAGTAATACGTTTATACAATCATTCAACTTTTTCGTTTCCCATAACGTATTTTATTTGCAATCTGGAACTTTGAACGCGAAGTTGTCGACCGTCTTGGCGAAAGACCGCACTCCTCGTGCACGTTTTTGTATCCCTCTCCCCGTTAATCAAATTTACCATTCAGATTCAGAAATTCAATCGAAAGTTAACAATCGCCTCCTTAAAATTATCGTACAAAAAGTATTCTACCGCTATTTCCTATGGATCCTCTAAACTGAAATCGTTTTCACCTCTTAACGACTTTATCGAATACGTCTGATAAATTGATATCGTTCGAGGAAACGTATCTTTTGATGTATGTTCATTTTTCAGCCTTTTCTCAGTGGCAGGTTGCATACCACGTGTAACGACCCTCTGTTTAATCAAGTTTTTGTTACCCAATTGTACTTTTTAAAGAACAGTACACTTTTTATCGGAAAGTGTAATTAACAGCTGTTGATTTGATTTAATGAAAAACAGTCGTTTATTTCGAGTCTCTTCATTGTCAGTTAGAATTCGTTTTTTTTTGGGGGGGGGGGACAGAAATACGATATCGTTAATTGCCATGCAACTTAAACGTAAATAAATGAGGAAGAAGAAGAAGAGGGAAATAAATGTACGCGTAAAGTATCAGATAGAAAAAAGTGTGTAATTACAAAAATAGCATTACTTTGTGACTCGTGCTCGTACCAAAGACCAACGAATTTGTGGAAACGTCTACAAAAATCGTGTAAAAAGAGAACATCACGCGGCGAGATCTTTTAAGTTTAAACGGACAATGATAGAGATACAGGGATTAAGTATAAGTCTACCTTCCGTAACGACGACCGAGGCGTTTAAGTACTTTTGCAAGTACCGAAAATACACGTACGTGATAATATATTAGACGCAATGGCCTTCAGTCTTACAACGTTAAATAAAAAACGATATGAGATACGATGCACGTTCAGAAATAATCGAGTACATTACTTCATTCTTCGATATAAACGTCCGTGTAAAAAACTAGATATGCAAGTAAAACAACGATATCCAAAAAATAGTATCAAAAGGTGCATTGAGAAACGAGAAGCGTCCAAATCAAGATTGATACAGAACGGCGTGCTCTTCGACGGAAACGAAACAAAATCAGTCTGGAAAATATCCACAGTTTTCTTTTTCTTTAAATGCGTACTCTTTTCATTTGTGATATATCTATAATATATATCTATGTATATATTATTCATCATCTTATTTATATTTATATCCATATTTATAGTTATATTTATATTTATATAATGTTGTTAATGACAGACGGTGCATTTATGTACACTTAGTCACAATTCCTGACCCTCGAACCACTCTAAAATAAAACTTAGAATGCTCGAAATTTAATGATCCGATGTGATAAAGTAATACTGTTTTTTGTTGCATCATTTTAGTTCTCCTCTCCGCTTCCCTCCTGCCTGCTGACTCCCATAACGAGAATAGATTATTGTACAGACGGTCGAAGCCAAAGGAATGCCAAAAACGAAAATCTGTAAGTCCTTTCGTTCTATTTAAGTATATTAAAAATCTCTTTATCGTATGTATGTATATTTGATATATTTCTATAAATATAATTTTACGCTCTACCATTATTGAACTGCGATAGAACGATTCTATAGCGAACGGTACGATGAAAATTTCGAAATGTAGAAGATATATAAACGAGCACATGCTTATTGTCCTCATAGACTACGAAGAATTTTTGTAAATCTTTAAATCGCGAGTGATACACGCGTCGAAAAACTTTCTATTATTATCAAAAAGGAGATACACAGTTGCATCCAGTCGATGCACGATCAACGTTTGTTCTTGGCATTGATTTGGCGTTGCTCTACGTACCGGGGACAATGATCGACTAACTAGAATTATAGTTTCGTTGACTCTCATCTCTCTTTGACGCTAAACTACTGCTCTTTGATTAAGTCCTACTAAGAAAAGGAATTTTATTTCTTTGAACGTGAAGCGAGTTTCAGTTGTCCTTTTAGCTGCCGAAAAGAATCGTAAAAGTAGTCGAGGTAGAAGCCTATAATGGAACTTTGTACACGAGGGCATCGAGGGCTCGGGGGAACAGTACGCAAATTCAACATACAGTGCTTTTCTAGTTAGTTAAATTAGTTCGCTTAGAAACCTGCACAACACATTTTGTGCATTCTTTTTTAATTGGATATAGGCACCGTTTCCTTTCACTCTTCTTCCATTCAGTCCAGTTGCATTATTATTCTCTTTTTTTCCTCTTCATCTAATGGCATCTTTTACATGCTAATCTTAGAACAACCGCCTTACGATCTACTTAAAATTACAGTAGGTAATGAGAAGATCCCTATCGTGCGTAATGGGTTCAGCATGATTAATTGTCGATTTGGCAGTATGGTAATTTTCTCGTCGCCGAGCGGAAATTTACGTCTCTCTGTTTTCTTTACGGTGTGCCAAGGTTCACACGATTTTTTTTTCGTCGCATCGATAAGTACTTTTTGGAATGTGCCACGCGCGTTTTATACCACGGAAGTTTCTCAACTCTTCTCGTTCCTGACGAAGCGCATTTTGCGCTCGTAGTCGTTACATTTCAGACGTTGCGTTTTCCACTAATATGGAAGCACTGTTATCCGACAACCAGGAATGTCTCTACGTGTGCACATTGACGTTCGACCGCAAGGCACACGATCGCAAAATAATAATCCTCGTCAGTTACTTTTAAAAGAATCTCCGAGCGATACTGGGACACGTAATCGGATTGGATATGTTTCATTTGATCGAACTATCGATTACGATTGCCTTTCAATATTTCCTATCGCTTATCGAATCAGCTCTTAAGTTGAGAAAGTCTGAATTTATGAGTTTTTGTATTTTCTTTTGTAAACTACGAACGGATTTCGGTAAAGAACATGTCTACAGATATGATTGCTTTCCTACGATTCTCTGAGAGGCGTACGGCAGTTTTGTCCCGGGAATCTGATTCGGTGAGCACTTTCGATGCTGATAAAAACGAAATTCTCCGCTTTGACTGCTGCAACACCACCGACTATATGATTATACTTGGCTGCTACGATGTTAATCGCCCGACAAGTTAACAATTTATCGCCCTTTCTCTATTATTATTTGTCCGTGGAAGGTACGAGTACAGTACGTTCATGCCCGGTATCATGGTATAGGCTACATACTTACAAACTTACATACTTCTCTCGAGTGGCTTCACGTACTAGACGCGACGCACTTTCGCCCGTTCGCCTACCTCCCTTTCGTTTCTCTGTCGATCTCTTCTGTCTCTGGTCGATTCCCTCTCCTCGCGCGTGTCGGGTTGTCAGTTGGCGTAATGATCGAAAGAGCCTAAATATTCCAAACTGGCGCGATAGCAAAACTGATACTGGTCCTGCAACCGCGGGAAAAATTCTCTCGTATTTAAATGCAACTTATCTCCTTAACATATTTTACGAACCTCGGTTTGAACCATCGCCGGACGTTGCGTTCGTAATATTCTGACCGTCTGGAATATGTCCACGACTCCTTCGTACTGCATACGCTCCAGCACGATGCTGAGCGTGATGAAGACTCCAGTCCTACCGACGCCTGCGCTACAGTGAACGGTGATCGGCCCGTCTTGACCGAACTGCTCCTTTGTTTTGTGCACCTGCCCGATGAAGTCTATGAACCCGTCGCCGGACTTCGGCACTCCCTGTTCCGGCCAGTCGATGAACTGGAACTGTCTGACCGTGCGACTAGCCCCGTCCCGCGCGTCCGTCACCTTGAACTCGCGCAGTATGTACTGTGGCATATTGTACTCCGCGATCGGGTCCACCACGAAGCACTGATAACGAATCGACCTGTCGGATGGCCAATATTGGTGGCACTTCTCCCTGCCCATCTCCTTTAATTTTGTCAGCATGACCACGATGGTGGAGTTGTGCTCCCAGAGCATACGCCAGAAGTCGTCGGTGGTGTCGACGAGCGGACCTTGCGTCGCGATGTAGGCCCCTCGGTATCGGTAGCCGTCGATCAAGCTCGCGTTTATATAATCGGAGCCTTCGATATTGCGCTGTGGCTGCAGGCACACTCTGGTGCACTCGTACGGCAGGATGTGCACCAATCGGTTCTTGTGCTTGTTGCATGGCAGATTCGCCGAGATGAATCGCGACGAGTCGACTTTGATGTTAGACAGTTTCTTGAACTCGAGCTCCATGCCGGTGATGTTGTCGATCTCCGGTTGCATTAGCTTCTGAATGTGCGAGTGCAGGTTCCTCGCGGGCACTTCCGTGTTGCCGCAGATCACCGCTTCGTAGAGCGCGTCGTGGATGAATATGTACTGATCCTCGGTCTGCACCATGTAGTTCCTCTGAGCGCGTAGGCAGGTCACGTGGCCGTAAATGTCGATCATCTTCTCGTGTTTGATCCTCTCTAGCATCGAGTCTATGACGATAAAGCAGCCGGTTCTCCCGACACCGGCGCTGCAATGAACGATCAGTGGTCCGCTTTCGGGTGGATTCAGGGATCTGACTCTACGCAAGAACTGCAGGAACGGCGCGGGGTGCTCGGGCACGCCATGGTCCGGCCAAGCCGTGAACTGCAGCTGTTTGATCTCCCGTCTCTCCGAGTAACCGGCTCGCAAGATTTGGAAGGTTCGGATACAGTAGGTAGCCAATTCTTGTACGTCCGTGATCGTGACCGTCATCAGACCGTAAGTCTCCGAGCCTCTGCTCGGCCAGTACTGATCGCACTTTATCCTTGTCCTCTCCTCGAGCTTGGTCATCATCACTATCGTCGACGACCTCAGCTCCCAGCACATTCGCCAGAAATCGCCGAACGTCTCTTGAAGCGGTCCCTGCGTCGCTACGTACGCATTTTGTTTCCTGTATCCGTCGCAGTAATTCGCGTTTATGTAGTCTGTGCCTGATATGCCATCGATGGTCTGCAGAATGACTCTCGAGTGATCGTACGCGATCACATTCGCGTAACGATTCTTCGAGGCGTTCACCTCCATGTTCGAATGGTCCCAAGTGAATTGTTGTCCGGGCTCTATCGACTCATATTCCTGACTGAACTTTAGATTGTCGTTCGCTTTTAGACGCTCGATATGATTCCCCAGTTCGCTGATCGGGATCGGTGGATGAGAGGCCATGCCGGGTGTTTGGAAATTCAAACGGCGCATCTCTACCGGGTCCGAGGGTGCATGGTTCGAGCTAATGTCCGCGGCCATTAAGGGACGTGTGACGGCCGCTTGGTCCGGTGCTTTACACGGTTGTCTGCGTCTGAAATAATTGTCGAGTTAAAGTGCATACTAAAACTTATAAAGGTCGATGTCTCGATTATCAAGAAACTGGCGACGTTCTTTTTAATACAACGAGGAATAACGGAAACAGGGAAATCTCCTCTTTAAAATCGTTTTTAATTTACGTCGATACGACTTCTGGTTGCCCAGATATCTTTGTCCGAAGACAACTGCGAGTTTCGGCAGTTCGCTAATGCTGTCCTTTTCTCACGGCTGACTCTCGCGCGCTCGCACCTGCCGTCACTGACCTATCCCCACTTTGCAAGGAGGGGGGAACGGTCAGCGGCAGACGCTGAGTCAGCGTTTTTTCTGCCACTACCACCGTGCGTACGCGGTACCAGGAAAAAATCTAGGTCACGCGGTCCATTCATCCTTTCAGGCTCGCGCGCGTTCGGACTTTAAACCCTCGTATCTCCGAAACGGATTGAGATATCGACATAAAACAAACGCGATTTTAAAGGGCCCCTCTACCGCTATCTATTCACCCTGTAATTCTGAAAAAATTTCGATCCTTTCTCCCGTTCACGGTATTGCAATTTTTCCGATGTTCCTTTCAATGCGTATCGCAGGTTGAAAAAATTTGAAGAAAAGTCATACAGCCTTCCGCTGCCTGTTCTGTTTTGTACTGTGGAAAGGAACCAGGAGAAAAATGACCGACACTGCGTTAGTATATTAAAGATATATATTTGATCGGGTCGCGACCAGCTTCTTCCACGTCCAGAGCAGCGTTGAGATATTTTTACCCACGGCCGCAAAGTGGGGACGACGCGACCATGGTGGGGACCAATAGTTGGTGGGGGTATGCAGTGATTTTCAAGATTTGTAGGCTTATTTTGGCTATACATCTCGTCAAGTTGGCAACGTGGATAGTAGCGCCAAGCCAAGCGTGACGTAGACGAACGCGGCGCTGAATCTTT